GCTAGGACTATAACAGAGTTTAAAGAGAAGCTAGATAATTTCATGGAGATTAGGTCCATAAAAGGCTATTAGCCAGGGGATAGAAATGGTGTCCCTGGCCACTGTTTGTCAGAGGCTGGAGAAGGATGGCAGGAGACAAATCGCTTGATCATTGTCTTCAGTCCACCCTTTCTGGGGCATCTGGTGCTGGCCACTATTGGCAGACAGGCTACTGGGCTAGATGGATCTTTGGTTTGACCCAGTACGGCTGTTCTTATGTTCTAACAACCTTCCTATGTGGAACTCAGGAGCAATTAGAAACACAGATGTGCAAGCTTGAAATCCCCACCTTGCCATGCAGTCATCAGCATCAGCTACTACATAGCTGTGGTTTTCAAGCCCAGAATAAGGGAATAGTTCTAGAAATCCACTTCTACCCTGAAGGAAATGAACAGACATTCAGTGCTCATTTACCTTGCTGGGCTTCTTCCTCATGTCAGCTCTCTTTTTGCAATCTCACAGCCAGTTGTTATAGGGGCCTCTCCTCTGTTTTTGGTACTAAACAAGCCTGCGCAGTGTTGGATCTGAAGTTCTAGAAACTCGTGGGGAGAAGCAGTGGAGTCAGAGTGGCACTGTGCAATTTAGGAAAGAACTCCAGGTCACTAGGGGCTTGTCACCACCTAAAATGCTACAGCAGCACAACTCCAGCACCGCAACTGCTCTGCTTCAGTGTAGACACCACCTATGCCTAGGGCAGAGGTTCTCCTATTGGTGCAAGCAATCCACCTCCCTAAGAGGCAGTAGCCTTGTACTGTCTACATGGGAATTTTGGCTTATCTAAATTGCTCAAGGATGTGGATTATTCACATAAGAAACAGAGCTGGGTTGATTTAATTTTCTAGTGTTATATATATTGGGGTAACTACGTGGGTTATTCACATCCCTAAGTAGTGTAGCTAGGTTAACACATTTTTTTTAGGGTAGACAACTCTTGAATGTTGTTGGAATTTTCCTCTCCCATCACTGTTCAGGGATTACTGGGAAATGCTGGTCTGTGAAATTCATTCTATAGCCTTTGTCCATGGGCAGAGCATGCTGCAAAAAGGGTCTACTTAAATTCTGCCTTCTCTTCAGTTGTGGGAGAAACATTGAGAGAGCTGAATGAGCTAAGAAGTCTCTCCTAGAAGAAGGAGCAAGTCATTCATTATTTTGTTGATTTTCCTCATTATTTTCATGCATCTTAGCACTTTTGTCAGTAAAAGTTATGTTGCTCAGGGATGTGAAAAACACACTCCTAAGTGACGTAAGTTATAGCTACAACCGCTCGTTGGGGGTGGTTAAACTATGTCAACAAGAAAACTCCTCCTGTCAGCATAGAGTGTCTAGATTGGGATAGGTGTACCGCTTTAAGTTCTCCAAGTAGATATGGCCTTTGTGTCATATAACTAGACTTGGCGTCAGACTCCTTGGCTCTGATAACTTCTAGAAGTTTGGGGAAGAAAAGATACTTGAAAGGCAAACATTTTATTTGTTTTTCTGCAAATAACTTCATCAGTGTGGATCGTTGTTTGGTTTGGCCTGCCAAAGATATACATCTTTGTGTGGGACATTGGTTAATGTTTATTTTCCTTTCTCTTATTTCACAGTTTTTGCATTTAGGATCTTGCCAATAACTTAATATTGAAAGTGACAAATACTTGTTTTCACAGATATGGGAGACTGAATCATTTTCAGTGGAATAGGGCCTCAAGAATGATACTTCAAAGCTTCTGTGTTAATCTGGACCATGATATATAAAACCCCATAGGAAACCTGAACATCCAAATTGGGATTCTAAACTAATGCCTAGATTTCAAACACTCCTGCTGCTGAGCACCTGTTGGAAAAATCCTTTCAGCATTTGTTTCAGTTCTGCCAATAGTCTGTACATAAGGTTCAAAGCTCTGAAAAGAAAAGAAAAAACACCCACACAAAGCAAACATTGGTTTGGGAATCTTCAGTGTAAACATTCTCTTTTTCTGAAATGTCAGCTGGAATCCTGAACCCCTGGAGGCACTTCTAAAACTTCAGGATTCCTATGTCATGAAGATTTAGTCAATTGCACAATTATGTACTGGAATGAGCACCAGTGAAGCAAAGGCAGTGAGATACTGTGTCATTTTTCAAACATACAAATCATTTGGAAGTTTTATGTTACATTTCTAGTGGAAAGGGAAACCTTTGTTTGTTTTGTGAAAACAGGGAATGGGAACAGTAATACCGAGTGCATGTACGTTTTCATCCGTAGAACTCAAAGGGCTTTACAAAGTTGGGTCAGCATTATTATGCCCTGTTTACAGATGGGGAAACAGGAACACAAAGAGGCTAAGTGATTTATCCAACATCATCAGTTTCCTTTGGCCCTTCTCAAAATAGAAGTACAAGCTTTTAAGGGAAAATATGAAAATTAATGCTGTTAAAGTGCTTTATAAATATAAAAGAACTAGCTGGAGTTACCCAGTGTTGCTCGGTCCCGCTCCCCACTAGCTGATTCGCTTCCCCGCCCCTGCCAGCCCTACTTCCTGCCAGCCAGTTCTCCTCCTCCTGATCTCCCCTGGCCAGC